ACCCAAATAGCAGGCTTTATTTCAAAAACTGAAGAAGCATTCTTGTAAATCAAAGCTTCTTAATACTTTCTATTCCCTTCACACTTGCAGTTTCTTTGACCTGGTATAGCAAGATGACTAATGGAGGTTGAAGCACCAGCTTGGAGAATGCTTCCCAAAACCATTCTTCATGTATGCCTATTTACAGCCCACACCATCTAATTAAAATATTAAAGTTGCATCTATGACTACACAAGATATTAATTCCAGTGGATCAGTTTGTTTATTTTTATGCCACTTTAACATCACCATTAGGACCATATTGACCTTACACATGTCTTATCAGAGTCCTTGGTGTTAGAACAGCCCAACCTTGGAAAGACCTTATCAAAACATCCTTGCTGTCCAGTCTAGACATATTCCAGTCCAACAAAATAATACTGCAAAGTTTCACTCCTGAAACAAATACTGCCTTCTAGGTCAAAAGTGATAACTTCTGCTTCCACCTCTGTTATACCAACTAACAAAGTTGACAGAAATTTGTTTCCACCATTACAGTCAATAAAACCTTCATATGTTCAATATAGAACTTTGTCTGTTTTCATTTTTGGGGTGGCCTTTGTTCTGCTTGCAAAGAGAATTCACATGCAGAAAGCCATTCCTTGTTCTCCTACACAGCTCTCCATTCCCTGTAATTCAGAATTCCTGTCTGTATTATAAATTATGAACTTGTTCCAGTTTTTGGTTTAGATATTTGTCTCGTACTTCCCTTCTGTACCATCTCTGATCATGTAACTTTAAACATTTCTTTCTTTATAAGGTCTGGGCAGTGCTACTACATGTCTCTTCTACTGCTCATGCTATTTAGAACATTGTTCTAGTATCTTTTTAATCTTTGTGATTCTTTACTTAATTGCAAGTTTCAGCATATCTGTTTTCACTGGTGATTTTTCCCCCCGGGTCTCTCTTCCTCTCACCTAACACACATTATTTAATTATGTTTTAGGATCTAGGCAAATTAAATTGTGCTAAGTATGTCTTATTGTGCTACAGCTAGCTCTTAACTCATTTTAAGTGTATTCTGCTATTGCAAAGTATTTTTGGTTTTACCTCTAGGCCATATACACTCTTTTATACATGTACGACACAAAAGTCATCACATCTTATGTAGGCTTGAATGCATCTTAGCCAAAACAGTTTTGCCACTAACAGTACTGTAAGTTACTGGACATCTACAGAGATACACAGAGTCTAGAAAAGTTTAACAGCAGTAGTGAGGCCAATCTACAAAGCACAGTACCTGTTCTTATAGGTCAACTTCACAATTCTTGTGCCACCTTCATATTTCCCAGGATGCAATTCTTTTAAGGCTTGTTCCCATTTAGAAATGACATCACAGATCTTTTAAAAATATCGTGGAGAGAGGAGAGACAAACTGTGGTGAATTGTATAGTCAAGACTTGAGGGGAAAGTAAGTGAAAGTAATATTGTGGAACACACAAGATAAAGAAACAGACTGGATCAGCATAAACACAGCCAAGAGTGACAAAACAATTCCTTTTTCTATTACACAGTATGTAAAAATTAAAGCGTTCCAACTGAAAACTCCAGCTCTAATCTGCAGGGGGAATGTGTAAGTGAATTCTGGCCTGGTAGCAACTCCATGGCTATGACTATGTTAGCAAGTAGCATAGCCCAGGAGGAGCAGATCTGCACGGTGAAACACATGTTCCTAACGCTCTACGCCCACGCTATACGAGTTTCAAATGGTTTTCCTTTGGACTAGATTTAGTCTGGATCAAATGGCCTGAAAGCCCACTGATCACATCTTCCTGTTCGTGTTTCATGTAAAAAGAATCCATTTCATGCTCTCCAAGGTTGCTTCTTAATGTGAATCAAAGCATGGTCAATAGGAATGATCAGTAGGTTTGCTTCAAAAGTGCCCTCCTGAGCCAAACTAAAGCACTAAAATATCCTCTGAATAGCAGCTGCCTACATGCATGGCTAAGCGAAGCCCTTGGATGTGAATGTCCAAACTTTGGGAACATTTGGTCCTAGATTCCAACTTTGTAACTCAGACATATTTTTCGTAATAGCATGGTTAATTTCTTTGGTTTCATTTAGCTCCTCTTTGTTATTTCAGTCCTTTTATAAGTGGTCTAATAAAGGCCCCTACTTCTCTTTTAATAGCATCTCAATAAAAGGAATGTGAACATAAGAAGCCACATGAAATACATAATCAGATATCCTAATCCTCTCTTAAGAAGCTATTGAGGTTGCCTTGACAAGTGAATGATAACCAGTTAATAACCAGTAAAAGTGATGCCTTTGATTGTCTCAAACTCCTTCATTTACACTAATATCTCATCTCTCCAAACGGTGGTTCAACTACCAGCAAAGCTTCAGATTATCTGATCTTATCAGGCAATGAAAGCAAAGCATATAATTTGGTACTGCCTATGGTAGATTCCTCTTCAAACCATCTAATTTGAAGTTATTGGTATCTTCGCTCTCCATTGCCCAATGTGAAATTTTATGCTGTATAAAACTGACTGTTTATGATCCTCACAGGTATCAGGGTCTCTTCAAAGTTGCCACTACAACTATTCCTCCATCAACGCCATACAACAAACCGTTCTCCCAGATTTTTACCAAAATCTGATGTGTCTCATTCATGGCTGCTAGCCTGCTCCCTTAAGGCAGTCATCCAGCTGCAGCATGGGTAAAAATCTCCACTGAAAGACACAGATGTTAATACTTTATCTGCTTTCCTTTTCCTTTGATCTGAGGCACTCCTCTCTTTTTTAAAGTGAAGGCATACTTGGTAGAGCTTCTCCCCTAAGTAGACTCATCAACAATGAAAGTCTGAGTTACCTGGAGGTAGCAAGGAGATACTTCATAATCCAATAGATGGGATTTATATAGACATGCCGGGAGACTCACAGCCTAACATAAGTTTGTCTCGATTAGGAGTGTCACATTTGATGTTAGCTGTGATATCTGATCATGCTAGCTAGCTCAGTCCTGTTTTAATTTTGTAGTCAAGACAAAGTAAACTTTGATACATGCTAAAATCAGAGTTAAAGACTTTTTAAAAATTGACCAATTTGTTACCTACTAAAACAGAACAGGCTTTGTCTTATCTAGTATCTCAGAGCAGACTGAGCTAATTATAGAATCATAGAATCATTTAGGTTGGAAAAGACCTTTAAGATCATCAAGTCCAACCGTTAACCTAGCACTGCCAAGTCCACCACTAAACCATGTCCCTAAGCACCAGGGATGGTGACTCAACCACCTCCTTACAACCTCCTTTCAGGTCGTTGTAGAGAGTGATAAAGTCTCCCCTCAGCCTCCTCTTCTCCAGACTAAACAACCCCAGCTCCCTCAGCCGCTCCCCATCAGACTTGTGCTCCAGGCCCTTCACCACCTTTGTTGCCCTTCTCTGGGCACAATCCAGCACTTCAAGGTCTTTCTTGTAGTGAGAGGCCCAAAACTGAACATGGTACTTGAGGTCCAGCCTCACCAGTGTCAAGTACAGGGGGACGATCACTTCCCTAGTCCTACTGGCCACACTATTTCTGATACAAGCCAGGATGCTCTTGGCCTTTTGGCCACCTGGGCACACTGCTGGCTCATATTCAGCCGGCTGTTGACCAACACTCCCCGGTGGTCTTCCAA